TATCAGGATGTGGATGAGTATGGCTTTCACTGAATACCAGCGAGGATTTTTCCAGGTCACTGTGTGGGTTTTTTGTTTGTTTTTTTGAGATGGAGTTTCGCTTTTGTTGCCCAGGCTGCAGTGGGGTGTGATCTCGGCTTACTGCAACCTCCGCCTCCCAGGTTCAAGCGATTCTTGTGCTTCAGTCTCCCAAGTAGCTGGGATTACAGGCCCCTGCCACCATGCCTGGCTAATTTTGTATTTTTAGTAGAGACAGAGTTTTACCATGTTGGTCTGGCTGGTCTCGAACTCCTGACCTTAGGTGATCCACCTGTCTCTGCCTCCCAAAGTGCTGGGATTATAGGCGTGAGCCACCACGCCCAGCCACTGTGTGGGTTTCTATGTCTACAGGCAGAACTGACCATGAACTGTGGATCAGGGAGCTGGAACTGAGTCATTGAACTGTTTCAGGGACCACAGTAAAGGCCAAGGTCTGCAGGCCTGCCTGCATGGCTACAAAGGGGTGTTCTCCTCCAGGCCTCTGGAAAGACAAGACCTCTCGCAGAATGTGACTAGGAGAAATTTGAGGTGATGACAGAGTAAGTTCAGAATTCTTAGTCGGATTAAGTTGGGAGGGCCATTTCCTGGTCTGTAGCCAAGTACAGGGGTCTTGTAGTTTGCCTCCTGAATGAGGGCCCACCTTCTGAAAAGGAACACTTCTCAATCTTTGGCTCTAGCAGTTTCATAACTCCCTCCCTGCATCTCGGAGCTCTCTTAAAGGCACTTATTTTTTATGTATTTATTTATTTTCTATTTTTTTGTTTTTTTTTGTTTGTTTGTTTATTTTTAAAGGCACTTATTTTTTAGATGGGTTCTTGCTTTATAACCGAGGCTGGTCTTTAAATTCTGGTCTGAAGCAATTCTTCAACCTGAATATACCATGTAGCTGTCATCACAGGTGTGATACATGATGCCTGGCTCTCTCATAAACACATTTTTTTTTTGGTCAGAGATAGCTGATAAATGTTTTTGCTGTTGGGGTATAAGAAAATAGGGCACCTTTTATTTTTCCATCTTACTGATGTTACTCTCTGTATACATTTTTGTTTTTTATTTCCTACTTTAAATTTGTCTGTAACTTTAGATTCAGACATTTAGGGCAATATACTAGAATTTACAAGTTATGCCTAAAGTAAATTAGATAATTAGTAGGCATTCCATATTTACTAAAATAGTTACTTACAAATTTGAGCTGTCGGTATAAACAAATCATAGGATTTTCACCCACTTTCTTCAGCCTATATCTAAGTAATAGCATAATTTATTCTCAAATACTTCTTTTATATATTAGAGACTCTAACCATATTCTGTGCGCGCACACACACACACATACTTACACATATAAATATATATAACATACACAAATATATACATACACATTCTTATTTTCTCTTTATTTAGCAGTGTAAGGGTATTTTTTGCTTCTAAAATCAGATTACAGAAGTTTTATTTTGTGTAAGAATAGCATATATTTTAAATATCAGAATTATCTCCACTTCCTTTTAAATGCTCATTTATTAAAATTTTCTCATTAGCATTTTCTATTTATGATTATACTACATTTTCTCTGAACTTTTACTGCCACACGACACATGCCATTGATTCAAAATACCTGTCTTCCATGAGTACACAGTTAAATATTGCAGTTATCTAGACAAATTCTTTCTTAATGGTACATCAATGTTGCAAAAAAGATTTCATGAATAAACATTTCTCTTATTGTTTTGTAGTTCCATATTAGTGTGGTTTTTCAGTGTAGGTTTCTTAACATCAGATTATTGGTGTTTTGTTTTACTTACATAATTTTA